ATTCCACACTCACATGGGATGGATGCCGATGTCGTGCGGCAGGAGTATTAGTATGTGCATCCATTTGAGCATCTGTGCGCCACATGCCGCTACCTTGGCCCCCGTTGGCCAACTGGCGGCATCTGCATCCGAATGTCAGCGCAATGAAGTCAAATGGCTTTAAATGCAAATCTCTCAGATTTTTTTCTGACAGCCTCCTCCTTGATTATTAGCCAATCTATTTATTAACTACGAGTATATAGAAACATTTCCAGTATATTTGCGAAATCTTTTCTCCCAGCTCAATAATCAATTTTTGTCCAAATGCAAGTGCAACCTCCCCTCATGGACAGCCGAAGAGCACTCCAAGTGTTTCTGTCAGGTCGGAATTGACTAATGGGCTGCTCTACGCATCGGGGCTAACGATTTATGTGGGGGCGTGGCAGCTGTCAAACGGCAGCGTGTGAAATTTGTTAACAAATTGCGGCGTCGAAAAGTTTTAGGAACCGAAATTTCATTGATTTTATATTTAGAAAATATTTATAAATATTTTTGTTTCGTTTTTCTTTTGCTTTGGGATGCATTGGGTCGGTGCACTCAAAAGTGAAATGTGTGAAAAATTGGTGTTAATTTTTCAAAATTTTTGTTGCTGCTGCTGCTTTTTTAGCCTTTTTCACTTGGGTTTTTCAGTGTGGGTGGAAATGGGGATTTAATTGACAATTTACTTGGCTCCGATTGACTAATGGGCTGTGTTCCTGATATTCTAAATAAGTGCAGATGGAATAAGCGCATTTTGTGTGAGTTTATCAGAGCGACAGCGATAGTAAAAAATAATATTATAATATATTATTTTCAATATAAAATGTTTAATTGAGGATAAGCAAGCTAGGTGTGCTAGGTGATGTAACTTCTTTCATTTCCATTCTATCGCAATGACAAAATATGTAAATATCAACTTTGGCGAGAGCCGCTGGAGTCATGCCTCATCACCATAATCATTAACGCGATTAATGATGGATCAGCAAACGAATTCTGCCTGCTCATTGAGCCGCATTTGGGTCACCCTCTGCCGAAAATTGATTGCAATTCACACCTGAATCTGAATATGGAACACATTTCGAGCAATTAACCCACTTTGGAGGCAGCTATCTCTGTGCCTGGAGGAGCCATCCTCCTGCAAATCATTGCCAATTGGGATAATTTCTTTAAATTACTGCCCCATCAGTCGAGTCATTTTATTGTCGTCGCTTTTGGTATTACGAGTACATATATTGTAGTAATACTTTCGCTTTGCTGTGCTCTCTTTTTGTGTGTTTCCCAGCATGGCTTTGTGTTTAATTTCGCATTCTACTCACACGCACTTTCTTTTATGGCAAGAGCAAACCACATTAAGAAGTCAACACCGTTGCTTTACATACCCTTACAGATTGGTCTTTGGCATTTATTTATTTCAGCTAAATCTTTGTTTATTGGGTTCCCTTCTGTCAGCTCCAAAGAAGGAATAAGCTGCAGCTGGGGAATGCAGATTAGTATCCCCCCATTAGCTGCCCCTACTTAACCTACTTCTCTCCTGTTCAAGCATCTGAACAAAATCAAAACACCCAATGCCAGTGTATGGCAACAATCTTGACTTGGATTCAAGTGCAGAAACGAGACCCATTACAAGACATGCGCCACTTCACTCCGCCTCGCACCACAATCATCTTCCGCTCTCTCCCCCTGTGGGGTGTGCTGTAATTTCGCAAGATTTTGTAATTTGTGCGCATGCGTCAGGGCGCTGGGACCAGTCCGTCCGTCCGAACCGAACTGAGCCGTTAGGCGGCTGAATGTGCTGCTAAATTCAAAAATAAACAGCAAATGCGCACACGGTTTGCGTAAAGCATTTCGCGCCCAATGAGTAATGGCAAACTGATTCATAAGGCCACAGTGGCCTGTCAATTTTGACAGCTTGGCCCATTGTTTGGCTCTCTGTCTCTGTCGCTCGACCGCTTTGTGGAGCAAGGACGTAAAAGCCTCCGATTTGGCCAGACCTTGTATTTCCTGCTTTCACCCGCCTTCGGGCCCACGCCCACGACCACGACCACCCCCACGTGCGCAAGACGCCCAAATACGGTTAGGCAACGCGAGAGTGGTTCGCGGGTCTGACCAAAAGAAAGCTCCATTAAAATAAATCACCTCTTTTATATGCCCATGCCCGTGAGGTGTGTCTGTCTGGCTGGCAACAGACGGGAGGTGTCGTGTGGGGAGGGGGATAGGTTGGCGCCCATGGCTGGTAGTTGGGGCTGCCAAAATCAATTTGCATTGAAATGCAGCGAACCAATCTGGTGATCTCTCATGGAAGGAACTGTAACAGATTTCAGGGTCAATAACTTCTACCGTATAATTATAATGGCAATGTATTCTAATTCCAGCAAATAGACGGAAAGCATTCTTGGGTACAATAGCCTATCGATTTCGTCAGGGCGGCGGGCGAAAACAGTTTCCAGACAAAGACACTTGGACGAAGCCTCCGACTGCAAACTCGAAATAATCCGCTTAAGAGACTCGATTTCCAGCCAGAAGCAGGAACAGAGACCAGTCAAACAGAACCAGAAACAGACACTAAAACTGAGCCCAGACGACAATTTAAACGTCGCCCAGTCATTTGCCGTTGAGAACTAAGCTGCAGCCATGTGGGATTTGAATAGATATTGATTTTCACCTGTGCAAATAGACGAAAGCCACTAAGATAAGAAGATGGAAAAGGGGCTGCAGACAGGGCCGGGACGAGACGGACACGTGACAAGGCAGGTGCCAGACATGTGATTGCAGCTGAGTGGCTGAGGCCTAATGTGACTATTTTTATCCCCACAGCGGGTACACAGCGGGTACACAGCGGGTACACAGTAGCCTGGCCAAAGTGGCCAAAGACACCGGCTAATCAAGCCCAAAGCCAAGTGAAGTGCAGTGTAGTAACCGTGCCCCACCCATCTGTCCAGCCCACCCTACAGAGGTGACCCACTTGAACATGCACCGCTCGTGACATTCGACTGGAAAACGTGCAGAAGCGACGGGAAATCGACAAACGCGAAACAAAGCTGCAGCAGAGACAAACAAAACGTCGAAACGTGCAGAACGTCACTTTTGGCCACCTCAGAGCGACAACAGTCGGGCCCGAACGGAGATGCGTCACAGCGGAAAAGCAGCGTCAGCCAACAACCGACAACCGACAGCAACCAGCAACCGACAACGGCGAAAAGTGTTAAGAAAGAAATGCACTGCACAGAAATAATATGGGAAATCAGGAAATGTAACTAGCGAGAAATGCGCATCGAGGCAACCGGCAACACGCACCACAGACAACACCAAAGGCACCACCAACAACAACAAACTGTACACGAAACAAGCGCAAACTTTTGGGTCGAAGCTCCAAATACCCTTGCGATAAAACTTGCCAGTTATACATATGATATTTAGATCTATCACTCCACGTAGCGATTGCACCGGGCCTGTTTTTAATCACAAGCAATAAAATAATGCACATCGACGGACGTATAGAATAAAGTAGCTCTATAGAAGAAAGAGCTGCTTGAAGAGCTGTTCTTTGGTTGGCAAACATATCGTAGAAAACGTAATCCCCTATGGGTGTACAGTGTACACAGGGTATACATTCAAATAACAATGTTGACAGCTGCTGAAACTGACAGTTTGACGTTTCGACTCACGCGCCAAACGTCATTCAGCAGCAGCAGCAGAAATCCAAGCGATTCCCGCTGCCGCAAACAATAGACAACTCAATGATGACTTTTGATAGACGACAAATAAATAATATCTGACATATGCTTGCTTAATATGCTTGATTTCTTCAGCGTTAACAAATCGGAGACGAAATCATTTGTGAGACTTTCAACATATAATAATCGCAGAAATCAGAGGTCATCTACATATGTTAAGCTGTCAACTGGAATCGGAAATAGTTGTAAATATTTGATATAAGTATTTTAAGCTTATATTTTGCCTTCTAAAGAAATCTTCTGACAAAAGATTCTATTATAATTAAGTTACTGTACATCCAAGAGTATAATAAATATATGATGGCAGAATCTGGTAGATTGGCTAAGATAAGTAGATCATGGGGAACTTTTGGGACTTTCCATTTTCGGGTGGTCTCGTATCTTACAAATGATGTGAACTCCAAAAGAAAGTTCGAAGTTTGAGCTCTGTCTGTTATAGAATAAGTGGGTCCCAGAAGACTACTTTACAAGTGCAAGACGTACCCCATTTCGCCCAGTCACACAGAATCATAAAGAACTAGCAGACCAGCGCGCTTCACTGCTTACAAAATAAATTGAATGTTGAGGAATTCATCGAAATTAAAAAATTAAATTAAACAATTAAACAACACTTTTGGACCAAATTTATAATTTTTTTGATTAATTTTTAGTTCTTAAGGAACCTATTTATAGAAAAGTACAAATTCGTTTGGACAAACCAAGCTACATTCTCTGGCTACGCTCAGATTTTTTTCTACAAATTTATAGTATGGATAACCATATCTAACAGATTGCATAATCTGTATCAGATCGGATCATTATAATGGCCAGAACGAATAAATTAATTTGCCATGGTTAACCTACCCCTTCCCCTACCCTTCAAATCATACGCACACAACCTCTGAACTAGGGTGTTGGTGTGAAAAGAGAGATGTATAATAAGATGAAAAATGTAGCAAAAAAACGGAAACAGATAAAATACTTTTAAGCTCCACATAAAACATAAGCTCAGATACAATATATACTGACTGAGTACCGGGTATAAGAGGAGAGGCGCGGCCACTGCAGCGGCTCACAGCGTTCCTGTTTGTTTTCAATTAAATTGGGAAAACTGGAAAGTCACGCGTAAATGTAACGTCCATGTGAAACGAAATTCATTATCAAATTCGGACATGGTGCCAATCGCCAGATTTTACAGTTTTCTGTGCTTTAGTTTAAATTCAATATTATACATTGTACATCTATTAATTTAGAATATGCTGAAATTTCTTGTTTCATGTCCTTTATTGGCACAAGGCTATATTGTAAAAGTTTTTAATTTCATTTTATAACCATAAAATTTAAGCCGAAGACGTATTCTGATCTACTTCCATACAACGATCGAAATTGTCTCTGGATTCGGTGTCTCACATATAAACTGAAATAAACTGCGATTATCCTCGTTGGCGCAGGGACGATCACCCAGTTCAAACCCTATGGAGTCTTTAAATATGTATCCCAAGTGAATGCAATGCTCTCTTCGCCTAAAGTTGTCGGGCTGTCCTCGGGCCCATCTCAGACTGTTTATCCGCTGGGCATTGGTGAACCATTTGTGGGTACCAGTCATGACCAGATCATTCCCTGAGGTCCAGTAGTCGCCACGCTCCTGATTGGAATTTAGATAGTTGGCAATTTCATCGATTTCTTCGTCTGTCTCGAAGGTAATCAATTCCGCGTCCAGCTCCCGGCATTTCTCGTAGGCCACATACCAGTTTACTCTCTCGCTACCAAAGAAGTAGTATCCTTTGTTGATCTTGGTAAATGGTTCCAACTTTAGGGCATCACCGATGAGATTACCTGGTGATTAGCACAAAAATGAATTATTTCACTCCGTTTTCGTAGTTTACTTTAGGTCCATTACCATCATTCACCTTAAATGTAAACTTATCCCGGCACCAGCCTTCTCTTGAACTGAATATTAAAACGATGAATAGAACCGTATACTTCAGCATTTCTCTGAACAATGATTCAAAACGTGACATGAAGGCTGCTTTTAAGAATTTCTGTTGAATGTATTTGTTTGCTCTAGCCGGTAATAGAAGAGTTTAGGGATATATTACATTTTTAGTCAAAGTGGATGTGTGTAATGTATAAAATGAAACGTTTTCGACCCCATAAAGTATACATATATAACGAACGTTTTGGTGTAAGAAGAGAAATGTAGATGACAGATGTAGCGATCAAATGGAAACAGATAAAACATAAAATTCTTCATGAATCATGAACTCATGCAATGCCCTCTTCGCCTAAAGTTGTCGCGCTGTCCTCGGGCCCATCTCAGACTGTTTATCCGCTGGGCATTGGTAAACCATTTGTGATACCTCGTAATGGCATCGAATTCCTGGTCTGTCTCGAACGTAGCTAGTTCGGCGTCCAATTCACGACTCTCGTAGGCCACATACCAGTTTACTTTTTCCCTACCATTGTTGATATTGGTGAATGGATCTGATTTTAGGACAGCACCGGTGCGATTACCTGGTGATTAGCATAGAGATTTATTATTTCTCTCCGTTTTGGTAGTTTACTTAAGGAATTTACGATAATTCACCTTAATTGTGAACCTTTCCCGGCCCCAGCCTTCTCTTGAACTGGATATCAAAACTATGAATAAAAACGTATACTTTAGCATTTTTCTAAGCAATAATTCACCCGAGACATGCTTATAAGCTTTTACAAATTTATTTTCTATCTATTTTTAATAATTGCAAAAGATCTTATTGACACACGCATTATCACGGAAACTCAAGATATGCAATCTCGGGTTTTATACCATTGGCCTTGGTTAAATTCAGTACACATTACTGAAAGAGTACGTATTCTGGAAGATAAACTCTGGGTTGTCGTAAACTCTACAAAAGTATTCCCGGACCTTAAAGGTAATTAATTCCAGTTCAAGTATAAATTGTAAACTATTACAAGAAAAATTTGCCATATTTTGAACGTACAAAAATCAAATTTTGTAAATGTCTATTTAGTGTTCGGCTGTACCGATAGTCTTTCCCCTGAACCCTCTTGACAGCGAGAATATCGAACTATTAGCATTAAAGGGAAATGCATTTGGAATGCAGTACTGCCCAGTTGACCCAGCTTTGATCATCAATAAGTGAGCCACCACCAGGAATGGGGCAGAAGCATGCAAGTATCTTGTACGAAGAATTTGACATCAGGCGCGTGCGATTCATGTTGCTGATGTGCAGTAGGTTTTTATCTTTATATACATACGTATGTATGTATGAGGTTGGCAGGCAACTGACACTCTCAGCCCAGAGCCCACAAATTAATAGCAATTGGCGCAATATGCAGCTGTAAATTGCTGTTGACCAGCAGAGAAAAGATCGAAAGAAAGAAAGATGCAACGACCCGATCTCTGTGTGGGTTGGCTGACTGTCGCGTCCCCATAAATAGAGGAATGACATGGGATAGAAAGGCATGCGCTTCAGCACTTGAATACACATACTCGTACATTCATATAAGTAGTTAGAAAGAAAGTCGAGTGCAAATTAGTTGGACAATAAATGTCCCGAGTGTGTGTGTGTGTGTGTGTAAGTGTGACCAGGAAGAAAAGTCTAGCACTTTGTCATGCTCGGGGCTTAAATTATTTAATGGGTTCTATGGCTAGAGTCGGAACGTTTTGCGATGTGCAGAGGAAACTTTCCTTATTGCCGTATCTGAGGCAATTTAATGTCTAATTACTCGTACCTTTTGGTTGTTGTATTTCAAAGATGACTCTTTAATGTAGATTTTTGACAAAGACAAAGAAAAAAACTGAACAAAATTTTACTAGCCTCCTTTTGGCTTGCCTACGCGCATGACACTGAAGTTGAAGCAACTGGAGACCAGACCACAATTAGCTGCATAAATATATAGACACAGTTATGCACTACTGTTATGCGAATTTTTTGGGTTCGTAGGGCTATGACGACAGCAGCGACCTAGAACAAAACAAACATATTCCATGTTACTTTGCAAGCGTGTTATTTATTACATCACACAACAAAATTTGCATACGAAAGGAAGGTGGTACAGCATGGTAGAAGGAACAACAAGTTTCCCAAGTACATATTTCTCGTACCATCCTATGGGGATATTCCAGGCAGCGCTGATGGAAAAGAGCAAAGAAAATGTTGTGCGTGCGCCAGCAAAATTTAATTTGATTTATTTTTCATAGCGTGGAGGTGTGCTCAACGTCGCAGAAGAATATTTTCCAATAACCTGAATCAACGCAGAGCCCAAAGGAGGGAAAACTCGGACTACAATTTGGTGACAATTCCTTTGTCCACCGATGACAGCACGGGGATTTGGAGTGCCGAAGCCAGATCCGGGTTTAATGCAGAGGGGAAGAGGAAGCCACATGACTCCGGACTCTGAAGCTTCTACATATAGTAGTCTTGAGGAATTGGTTTTACAAATTCAATCGTGTCTCTGACAAGGGCAGACCATGCCGGTGGCTACAGGTGGCACACACACGCTAAGATATCGTTTCCTTTATGTGTGGTTTTTCCAGACGTTTTTCCCCACACCCCCACCCACAAGCAACATTCAAACACAACACTCAGTTTGGAACGCAGTCGTTTGCCGGCAGGTGGCTCAATTTGACCAGTTTGGAACAGTTTAATTTGTGGCATACTTTTGGGGCTATTGAAAAATGTATTTTTATGTAGAATGTGTGTACAAATATCAAAATTTCATATACGTTTAAATTAATTTTTAATGAAATTATTATTATTTTTAATTAATATAATAAAATTTAAATTTTATATTTTTTAAGTTTCAAATTTTGTACTACTCTTTTTGGTCAAATGTCTCTGCTCCTTATTTCTTAAGCGTGCCATGATTCTTTCTGGGTCGAAAGGATCTCTATGATGCATTTTGTATAGTGTATCCATATTGCAATAATTGTTGGAGTTTAAATGGAAAGTTATCTTTGCTTCATGGCGCTATCAGCTCTAGTAGTAAGTATCTTCGTCCAGTGGCTTTCAAACTGTATACGTTGACGTAATCGACTCTTTTCTACTATTTATTTATTCATTTTTTCCTACAATCACTTGCGTCATGGAGTACACAAAAAGTAACAGTCATTTTCTCACCTAATTTGCATGTAATTTGTTGTGGTGGCATCCCAGCCCAGCCCTCGGTCCCCTCTTATGCATATTTCACTGCATCCATAAGAGACCGAAGCACAGTCAATATTTCGTAGCCTGCCCTGTGCCTGAAAGATGCTTATCGAGGTGACAACAACAACTGAGCCAAATTGGGCTGCGACTGGTGTTGGTGGTTGGAACGGGGATCCTGGACAACACTTTGCATACACACGTACACATACGAGTATTCCTGTACTCCTGCACAAACAAATACATATCATGTTCATGCTGTGCTCTGTTTTGGGTAAGGTAACCCGATCAGCATTGTTGTTGCTGCTGGTCTCTGGGATCATGTCTTCTTTTGGGCAAGCCAAATGCAAGATCATTGGCCCAGTTGGCAACTGTTTGACTCGTTTGCCAGAGCTTCTGGGATGAGCCTGAGCTCGTCTTGGCTCTTGCAGTGCCCCGATCTGGTTTTTGTAACGCGGAAGCTTCTCTTGGCTTCTGCCTGTGGAGGTGTCATTGTTTGCATTTTGGCCATGATTGATTGGATGCTGTCAGAAGCTGTTTATTTGTGTTTTCCTTTGTCCCAACTAATGCGAAATCTTTGTTGTTTGTTAGGGTAATGAGGATAGAACTTGTGGGAGCAGCTATGCAGCAGAAGAATGATGTGTCGGGGATCTGTAATCTGTCATCTATCAGCTGCAGAAAGCCTTTATTTCCATGGCCTTCTATTTGAGTAAGAAAAGCTCCAACCACTTTTGAGTAGCTTTTGCACCAATTTCTCTCGGACTTCTTTCTTATCGATGGCAACACTCTCCGCTTTCTCCACCTACTTCACACTAGTCGAACCGTTCGATCACACCAGCCCACGTCTTAAGTCTCGGCTCGGAGAGTAAACGGCCTCGCTTTCGGCCGACACTTTAATACCTTTAATTACGCCCCAAAATATTACGGTTCAGACTGCAGCTACAGACTGCAGCTCTTCATACCCGACACACGATATGATCTGGTGTTTAATCAGAAATGTAAAGAAAATAAAGTGTGCCCAACGGGAGAGGAGGATACGGGAGCCCCTGCGAAGAAGACTGGAATGTTATCAGAGGCGAGGGATCAGTGGCCAGCATGCAGCAGCCACTGCAAAAGCAATTACTTGCCACATATGTACACCAGTTTAGCCAGCTTGTGCCCGCATTACACCTGACAATGTTGCATGCTACACACCCTCCGTTACCCTCCCCCACCCCCACCTGCTGTGTCTCAGCTTACCTTGAACTTCTGCCAGCGACTGCTTCTGTTTCGACAAACTCAGCGCCGCATGCAAATTGTTTGGTTAATAGGCGATAATGTACGAGTACGCATACTTAGTGATAATTTACGGCTTACATTTCGCAGCTACTTACAAATGCTGTCCCCGGTACCCAATCATAACCAAACCCCAGCCATATCGAATATATTTTTACGCTTTTGTAATGGTTCACTTTATGGGCAGCTGGGCTGTAATTTGTTTTTCCTCTGATACGTGCGTTGCCTGTAAATATTTAACATACTGCTGACTACACTGCCCATATGCATGTCTGAAGAACTAAAGAAATGACAAAACCATTAAATTCAAACCATAATCGTCTTTACATGTTGCCACCTTTGAGTATAAATTATGCAACTGGTCGTACTGAGAGATCTCCTATTGAATTTCGTATTCTTACAATGGAATTCTGTTGCTCAAACATCTCCACTCTCATCGCTCCCTCAGCTATAAATGATCTCTCAATTACTATTTGCATCTCGCTGTCTTCCCATCCAACTGCAGTCTCAGATATTCGAACCGTGCAAAAGCGAGAAATGGGGAAAAGCAAATGTTAACCCATTTATGACCCCCTTT